CAGGCAAGTTGAAGAGGTTCATAGCCTGTCATGGGCAGGCAGGGTGTGGGTGTGGGTGTAATTGTGTGTTTGTTTCTTTTCATCCACACCCACACCCGAATAGAATCTCGCAATCTGATTGGTCAATTTTTCAACCAATCAGATTTCAAGAGGCTTTTTTTCTTATTATCAGCAGCGGCGTAAACAAGTGAGATGCAAATGGGCAATTACCCATTTCATTTGGAGGTTTGTCTATTGAAATTTTACTTTTTTAGAATTGTTTATTTATTTTTGAATTAGATAGCAACTGTATTTTTGTTTTTACTCCATCTGAATCACACCTGCTCTCTTTGCTTGTTCTTTCTGTAAAGAATGAAGAAAAACAGAAGAAAAGAATCGATTCTTGCATTTTAACTAAGTTTGGGCGAATGTGAGTTTGGTTTTATGGGGAAAATACTAACCCCATAAAGGTAGAGACGGATAGATCAAAGAGAAGAAAAACAAGAGTACAGAGCAGAGAACATACACGAACATATCTATGTGTAGATATATATATAGAAATATAGAGAGAAAGTAACGCATATAAGAGAAAGGAAAAATCCAATGACGTATATGCGAAAATATAATAGAAAAAACCAAGAGGTAAAATGACTTAGTTTGTAGAGAAATGCTCATAGGTGATGCACAGTCACATATTCAAAGAATCCACAACATCAACGTATGCTTGTTTTTTTCTTGCTCGTCCATATGTATGTGTATACTTTTATAATACATTCGCTCTATTATCTTCTCATTTTCGAACAGAATTCACAATAATAAGCTATATACTAATACTAAGTAGTTCAGTTTTTGTTATTCTTCCATGATAGTTTGAATATTCTTATATTATTACGAAAACAACAGGCTCAAGATTATTTTCATAATGTTGTTTATAGTCATGTTGGTGAATTATGTAGAGAACTATTTGTCACACTATCTATTCCGTGTCATTCAATATTAGCTCTGCGAAAAAAGGTATGTCCATTTGTGATTTAGAAAATTTTTATTGTGATCATGTTTATTTACTACTTATTCTCAGACGAACTAATTAATAACATTAAAAGTCGATTATCTGGCTTAAAAAATGGGCGAATTAGTTTATTAAGTAAATTGTGACTGGAAGTAATTATAAATGAAAAACCATTTGAACTAACAAAACATTTATCGAAATAATTCGCTGATCGTTTAATATCATCATTACAATTAAATTCTGAATTAGAAAGATGGTTAAAATAATATAATGATTTGCTTAAAATGGATGATGACTGGAGAAAAAAATGCTTAAATGAACTAAATAAAGAGACGGGAAATGTATTATATCCGAATGTTCATTATTTATTAATTTTCTAGGCAACATTGTCTACGTCAACAGCTTTTACTGGAAGAAGTTTCAATCAATTATCGAGAACTAAAAGTTATTGTTGGCCTATAATGAAACAAAATAGGCTAAACGGACGTGCTGCTACATACATGCATAAAGGTCTCAATATAACTCCAAATGGAAAATTGAAATTATATATACAAATACATTATCGTCGTTTTGATTTTGGTGTTTGAATTTGAAATATAAATTTTATAAACAGAGTCATTAAAAATAGACTAAAAAATATCTGACTTAGGCTTAAGAATTGGTTTTGACGCATATTTGATTAAAAAAACCTCATTTCATTTGTTTATGCGTTGTTTTTACATTAACAGTACTTTGTTGGGCGAAAAATGTTTTGGCCTGTCAATAAAAATCTTGCCCATTTTGTCCATTATTTTTTTTTTCGACACCAGAGAAGTTTATCCATTGGTCTAAAAATCCTGGTTATGCCACCGATCACCAAGACTACTACTAGTCATGTTCTGACCGATCCTAGGATTATCGAGGATGCTATATCGAATGAGGGGTGTATGTCCGAGACTTCGCTTTATATATTACCGGAAAATAGAATCTCGCAATCTGATTTGTCCATTTTTTGATCAATCAGGTTTCAGGAGGCTTTTTCCTTCTTATTATCTGGACAGCTACTAGTATATCAGGAGTTGAGGACCCAAGGTTACCCCTGTTATAGGACTTGAGGATCCAAGGGCACCCTCTATAGTAGGACTTAGGAGCCCAAGGGTACCAGTTACCAGTAATGGTAACGGTTTGGTAACGGTAACTTCCTACTCCTAGACTTTAACTTTAAAATGATTAAAGTTAAAGTACCACCCCTACTCGTGAATTTGTATTTGCCTAACCGATTAGAGTACATTTTTCCCCTTTATATAAGAGTCTTTCTAACTATGCTAGTTTCAATCTAACTATGTTGCTTACAGTTCATATTTCGGCCGACGAACGTCTGTTGTATGTGCATGAATCTCTTTAGGATTCCATATGACGTACAAGTCCTTCATTGAAGGGGACAGTGATACTTTAAGCAGTACTATTAAATGATTTTCTTGCGATATACAACTTTGAATATATCTCTATCGACGACCAAAATCACAACTCCGCTTGAAAAAAGCTGAAGACATTCAATTTTTTTATCATAATGGTCTATAAGGGTCATTCTAACTATAATATAAACCTGGCTCTTGTTGGAACTCAATATTCTTTCCCGTCATAATCTATACAGGATATTAGGATCCGTTATCAAACCAACCTAATCGAACTGTAAAATCTGTATTTACTGAGATTCATGGCCATCCAATGTGTGATCAGCATTGCAAAAATTCGAAGGAGTGCTCATCTCATTTAGCCACAGTCACTTACTATCATCCATTTTTCTGTTATCAAATGTAAGTTCATCTAATAACCTGGTTTTTAGTTCATTTAAACTCCTACCAGAAATTCACTTTTTTTAGATCATGCAAAATACATCAGCCTGGAGAATTTGTAATGCGACCAAAAAGTTAACTTTGGTGGAAAAATATGAATGAATCGAAAATCAAGTCAGTTTACTTCGGTTCGTGTAGAACAACAGAAAAAATGGTGATACTAGGTATGTTTGATAGATGCTATTTTTGTATTGCGTGCTATCAACCCAGATTTTTCAACTTTACCAGATTGACTACATCGTAGTCCGATGGTGTAGTAGGTGTGTGATAGTATATTTTGCCAACATTCACGTATAAAAGATGCGACAAGAAATAAAAAAGGTCTTCTCTGCTGATAGTCTCACTGTATGAATGGCATGTGTTCTACAGATCATTGTAATTACAATACTCACGGGTCGTACGAGCCAACGGATCAAGTGAGTGATAAGAGACAAGAATTGAGATATAATGAAAGCCACTAATTATTAATTATCTGAAGTAAAAATCAAACAAATTAATCATAATCTTGATTGAGAAACCTCAACATGTCTATGAAACTTCGAAGAGATCAAAGATCAGCAAATTGCCCTTACTCATAAATACTGTATCAAATATGTCAAAAAACTTTGAAATCTGTCACATACTTACATACATGTTTTTCACGCTTTGTAGGATAGGAATGAGTGATTGTTTACTTTTACTGCTATAAACTTCAACATTCATTACCGATCGTCTCTGATATACACTAGGATGTGAGTGGGCTTCAGGTGAAGAGTGACATCTACATTTCATACCACAAATACTCACACCTAAAATGGTGAAATTATAGAATGGTTTTACTTAATCGAACATGAGTCTCAATTCAACCAGTCCTATGACATAGAAGACAATAGAAAACTCCTACTGGAAAACAGCAGACATCAGAGAACTTAATGACACCTCAATGAACTTCACTGAACTTCAAGAGATTTCACAGACTTCATGAAACTTCATGAAACTTCATGAAACTTCAGCGTATATAAAAAGCTATAGCTCAAAGGCTTCAAAAGATTTCTTAAGCCTTCCCCTCCTCTGTCAAATATCCATTTTCGTTCTAAAACAACAGGTGTAGCAGAAAACTTCAGGAAACACAGACCTGGGCCTAGTAATCTTATAGTAAAGATTTCAGCCCAAAATATTAAGGTCTTCAAGAGTTATCCCTATATTAACGGTCAAAAAGTTGGCTTTCCTGTGTCCCAGATTTCTTTCCCAAATCTAATGCTACAGATCTCGGGTTGACGTCAAAATGTAGCCAACACTTGCCGCTACAACATAACAGAATCCAATTTTTCAAATTCTTCTTTACCAATTTTTGGAATCAGTTTTTTTCAAAAAGCTCAAAATAATAAGGACAGTCCTGTGCACAAAGCTTCATTTTTCTCAAGAACTAAGTCAAAAATAAAAAATCTGGCTCTACGAAATTGTAGAGCACAATTTACTTTTAAATTTAAAACCTTTTTTAACTTACTAGCGTGTAAAATGGCTGAGAAATCTGGAAAACACAAGTAAAAAATAAAAATAAAAAGCTTGTTTTGAGAAAAATTCAAAACAAAACTTGCAACTGACAATCAATGTGTCTGTTTAGTAAAACGGTAAAGAAAACACATCGATCGCAGTCCAACATATGTTATCGCCTATGGCGAATCAAACGAACACTTGCACGTGCTTGTACAGCGTCTAAAAATTTGGGTCTAGAAGAGAAAATGCATACGAGGTGTGGATGTGTGTAGGTATTCATGTCACTCATTCACACCGACTTCCACACCAACAATACTAGCTGTTTAAATAGACAAAAATTGAGAAGAAGCAACCAATGACTATAAATGTGAAAGAATGAAGCCGAAGAAAGAGAAAATAACACATACTTATATCAGAAGGTGTCTCTTCTGGCATAACACTGTCAAAATAATTACATAATTGAATGAACACTGGTAGGAAAAGAAATACAGGGCATAAGTGCACTTATTCAAAGGCTCTCAGTGCTTGGTATATCGCACATTTTTGCTACCTTCTTCCCTATGGGAAATCTTAGAAGCAGTTCCAAAGGCAACAATGCCTAACATTTTCAAAAAACTAATTTTTTTCAAATTCCAGCCTCATCAGTAAATCCTGTGTGAAATCGTGAAAAAGCACCAGAATTCCGATAAATAATTCTGTTTTCAAAAGTAGGCAATAAAGGATATCCAACCACATAAAAATCTCAAAACCACCTGTTTTTTTTGACGAAAATCGTGATTTTCGACAAGAGAAGGCGCCAAGATTCCATTAGACTTCACGAAACTTCAATAGACTTCATGAAATTTCAAGACTGGAATCTCTGCTACTTTCCCTCGGAAAAACCTGTATCTAGTGGTCACAGTTCGACTGGAGCAATATAGCAAAACTCAGCTTTTCCCTTGGAAACCATCTAATTTTAGTCACATTCGAGAATGAATATCATATTCATTTTAAATACAAAAAACGAGTTGGATTAGATATATAGACGACAGTCCAACGATTGCAGCCGCTTTAGGCGCAGTAATTAGATTCTCCGAAATTTCCACATAAATCCGACCCCTTCTTTTTGATGCTTCATTCGAGGTAGATTAAAATGTGTTCAGGCTCTATAAATATTTTTATAGATCCTCTAAATATCTAGCAATGGTGCAACAAAGTGGAAAGTCCAGACTACTCAGACCACCTCATTGCAGAAAAAGTCTCTCCTGGAAGACTTCAGATATTTCAGGTTTTTTGGGGCAGCATTTTATAAATGCTCTTACTATCCCCTCCCCAACCAGCCAGTAAACCTTTGTGTATGTCACTGATATCTGTAGAAATCACGATTAGAATCTTTCAATAGTCAGTTCAAAAAAGTAAAATTTGACTATGCAAGCATAACAAAACCTGCAAGTATCTCACAAGCATAATCGGTAGATCCCCTGAAAATTTCGTCAGATAATAATTGAAATGATGTCATTCACAGCTATGCGTGTACCCTTCAGTGGCAATACTCAAGATACAAGAATTAAAGGTTATAACGACAGAATTTTTGGGACCCCCTAATAAGTTCGATGTTTAAGCAAATTCAGAGCCCAACACTGATCCAGCCAGGTTCTGGCGTTGTTTAAACCTAGATATAGATGTACGAGCGTGTGTGGCGGTTGATGGGATGTGGATGTGAATGTGAATGTATGAAAGAAAAAGACCCACATTCACACCGTTTTATACTATTTTTCATCGTCTGCATTGATGAATTCAGTCATCATTACTCTTTCTCTCGAAAAATGTGTGGATATCATCTATCTATGGTAATGCAATAAAGAAAAACCGAATGATGTCGGCAATCTACTTACGCTCAAATTACGTCTTCAATGTTTGATGATCGTTTTGGTATAATATGATTAAGTATATTTTGTATGAATTGCTGAATAAAAGTTGCTGGGTTTTTTCCAACTGACGCTTTTTCTCAAGTGTTACCCTTTCTCTTGGTGTTTATCTCTACTCTTTCTCTATATTACCGTTATCACATGGTGAGTAACAGTGGGTCTCCACTACCGAATGAAATTACATAGAAGTATGGAGGACAGTAAGGGAGAAAGATAACAACAATAGTCATGAGATTATTATAAAAAAAAAGACATCAGGATTCCTTCAATTTTTCTGACTGGTAAACTAGACAAATTCGTCAGGTCTTATTGATTCTGTAAGGATCTAATGTATTTTGTATCATTCTATGTAAGCAATTTTCAATTGAA